GGCTTCTTCCAGAAAGCCCATGCTTACCCCGATGCCTCTTACGGTGACCACTGGCCACCCCCAGCTGCAGGGCCACCCTCTGCCCAGCGGGCAAGCGTACGCAGGGAGCTGTGCTCCCTTTTCCCGTACGGCGAGGTGAACCGCGTCATGGCTTTGTACCCCCATATCAAGGATATCGCCAGCTTGACTTTACTGATACAAAGACACAGAAACTTGTGAAGCCTCCGGCTCAAACCTTTCCCTGGGGCAAAAAGGTGGTACCCCGAGGCTGAGCTAAGTGTTATTAAAGGGCTCTATGGCAAGGGTCAGAGCTGTTCCGGGAGCACAGGGCTGAGCATCGAGCAGCGGTGCGGCACGGGGCACCAGGTCAGGGCAAAGGCGGCTGTTGGCTGCAGGGGATCCCAGTCACCTCCCGTGGAAGTGAACGGGAGGGCTCGGGGTAAAACTGGGCTGTTGGCATTTGAACCTCACTGGTGACTGGGTTTGGGATAGCATAGGTCTTCGTTAATGCCTTGAAACACTAGATGTGTTTTTAAAGCCCTATCGTCCAACTACCACAAAAGAACCGTGCTCCATGGTCCCCAGTAAAGGGGTCTCCATGGACGCCCCACGACTACTTGCTCAGCGAGCCTAAAAAGCAATTTGGCCTGTTTCCCCGAACACAGGGCTGTGCTCCCTGCCAGAAGGCACCTTTGGGTCCACGGTAGTGCCTGATCCCGGCCCAGCCCCCTGTCAGGGAGCTTTCAAAGACAGACAGCTCTCACGGTCGTCAACCAACGCTGTGAAGATCTAGCATCACTAGCAGAGGTGGTGGAGGGATGGCGGGGCAGGGGCGCACCTGGAGAGCTGCAGACACCCTTCTTGGGGATCAATCACCATGGCGGTCCGATCGGGGAAGTCATCTTTGGCCAAAGTCCTGATGTGCCCTGAGGGACCAGGGTGTTAGTTCAAAAAAAGAAGAAACCCAGATGATGCTAAGTGGAAAAAAGCCAAACCAACTCCAAAAAAACCCACTTTAAAGTGTCTCTTGTATCAAACACGAAAACTATTGTTGACTTAACCCTTCACTACCAAACACGGTCCCATAATGCAATTATACAGCTGATTTATGATTACAAGCATTTAAAGTGTGTTCTGTTGGGACATGTTTGATTTTCAGTAAGCTGTAAAGCTGCTAATCTCTGCATTATTCCACTGAAGTCTTCAGGTTATAATTCAAATATTAAGGTTGATCCTGAAGTTTTTTGGCATTATACCAAAGTTTAAGTGTGTCAGTATGACATGTTTTAAAAATGCTTAACACAATATAAAAGGGTCATCTAGAATACCTTGTTCTGAATAATGTCATCTTCTTTCTTATTTATGTTTGTTTTTCTTTTTTTTTTTTCCCCCCATTCCTCTTAGCACTGATGCTTCATCAAGTCCAACGTTCAGGTGGGATTTACAAACTCTCCGACCCTGCAGTATCTCTGTTAGGTTGTCCTCTGAAGTGCAGTCGGGGATGTTGGTCCCAGGCAGGAATTACACATGGCCATCACTGACAACCCTGAATTCTCTTGCTTGCAAAAAGGTGGTGACTAAGGAGTAGTAATTTACCTTTAGTGACATTATCAAGCAATGCATTTTTTTGAAAGCGGTGATAGTTTGATCTGTTTCGCTCTGGAAACCACCAGCAGCTTTTTTTTGGTGGTGATATTTAAAGAATCTTCAGGAACTAAATATACCACATCAGTTCAATCTCTTATGGCCATGTGGTTGGCTCCAAGAAATTCTAATTTGGAGTTTGGAGATATGATTTCTCTTCATAGAATATGACAGTTTTTTTCCATTTGTCATGATTTTCCCACTAATTACAGTCATATCTATTACAACTGGATCACCAGAATGGCTTATAAATTTATCCACTGCATACTACACAAAGGTTAGAAGTTACATTAAAACAAAACTATGGAATAAATGCCCTGTGAAACGCTTTGGGAAGTACCCTCGTTCGTTGTGCTGAAATAAGCTACACCCGGTTAACGCTGAAGCCACCCGAGACCTTTCATGGATTAAATGTCTCTATTGCACCTAAGCGAGGTTGGGTGCGTTGGGCTGCCCAGCGACCTGCACCGCAGCTACTGCTGCACGCGTACAAAGTGCTGTACGCACACACGTACCGCTGTGCATACCTGTACGCACACACACGTACTGCTGTGCATATGTGTACACACACACGTACTGCTGTGCATACATATATGCACACACAGGTACCGCTGTACATACGTGTACGCACACGTACTGCTGTACATACGTGTACGCACACGTACCGCTGTACATACAGATATGCACACACGTACCGCTGTGCATACGTGTACGCTGGCAGAGAACGGGCCACGTGGGCTGGAAAAAGCCCTTCCACGTAGTCCAACGGAGCAAGCCCCAAGGGACAGCATTCAGAAAACACACACAGCGAGCCACGAAGCAGGATAAAACCGTACATGTCAGCAGTTATTTTTATGTCTGGATCGTACATTACGTATGTCAATACCGAATGCATTTAAGCTCTACAGGAAAGCGGGCACGCTGCCTTTATGTGGTGCCCTCAGTTTGCCCGAGATGTGCGTAAGCTTTTCTCCTGTTCCTTTGAGGATGCACAGGAATTTGGTGGTTGTTCAAAACCCGCTCCTAATGTTTAATAACTTGTTTTTCTTTCATTTCTGTCTCTTTCTTACTGAGGAATCTTTCAGTAAAATACCTCGAATGTGCATTCTGCTGAGAAAGCACCTGAGCAAGTAAATCCGCCATCGGTGCTGAAGAGCACTCCATCTCTCTTGGCCCTCGCGCTCACCCGAGGGTTTTCTCTCGCGGAGGTTTTGTTGGCGGAGCCGCGGTCTCGCAGGAGCTCTGCCGCCGGCCGAGAGCCCCCGGCGGGCAGGGACGGTCCGTGACCCCCCCAGCACAAACACCTGGGACGCGGGAGTTTCTGCTGCAGAGCCTTCCGCGCTTTCGGAAGAGGAGGATTTCTTTTTGGCTTTGTCAGCTCCCGAGGCAAGGGAGGGGGCTGCTGATGGGGAGGGGAGGCTGTGGCTGCCTGGTAGCGCTGCTGAGATGCATTCGAGTCCAGCTCTCGCTGCCGAGTTGAAAATGAATCCATAAATCCTAACGGGCTCGGAAAGCCCTTGATGTTCTTTGCTCTTTTGGTTGTCAAGACTCTTTTAGAAGAAGTTGGAAGGAGTGGGAGCAATCCTCCAGGAGACAGGCTGCTTTCCTAAGGGAGATTTACAGAGTTGCCAAGTTATTTTTAAGATTAAAAAAAAAAGAAGTAATAAAAGAGAATCCTCTTCCCTTCTTCACCCTCACCCTTTCCCCAAAAGCTGGGAAGCCATAGACACCCTCCTTTGTGAGGGGCTAAGCGGCCTTGGGTGGGAGTCACCCCCGCAGCAGCCCCTCAGCACAACGGGGGGGCCCTGGGCAGCCCCCGGCACCTCCCTCCCACCTCTCCCGACAGACAGAGCGTTCTCCCTCACACAGCATTGGTGACAAGTCTACGGATTTGGTAAGTTTAGATACCACAAAACTCTGCGCTGTAAGACGGCCTAGGGAGTAGATAACCACCTTGCTCGGCGTCACACATTTGTATTTGCCAATTATTCTGAGGAGTTTTGCCAAGATTTTAACTTGCTTCCCATAAGAGCTGGCACAATTGTTGTTGTTGTTGTTAAACCCACGCGATAGATGCCTTTAGCCTGGCAGAGATTCGATATGCTCAGGTGTTTTCCCGTGGCGCCTTAAAGCAATCATCCTAGGAAAAGCTCTTTGGGGAAGGAAACAGAGGCCAAGTTACGTTCCCAGGCGCTTGTGCTGGCTTTGCAGAGCTTTCTCTTCTCCAAGGATCAAACGGGACGCCCACAGGAACAGCCACCACGCGCTCCGAACTGCCTCCAGCCCCACTGTGCAAGCAGCGTCCATCCTTCACCTACCATCACCAAGACCGGCCGAGGGAGTTGCTGACACCGCCGGTTTTGTACAGAAGACAGATGGGCACTCGGACGCTGAATGGCACAATAAAACCAGAATAAACGAGAAGCAGGCAGCAAAACACGGATGGCACAAAAAACCCGTTAAACTGGACAAACGGAAATAAAATTTCTCATAGAAGGCTAAAAAGGTGTTAACTAAAATTAAAGAAACAGAGAGCTGGTGGAAGGAAGTATTGTATGTGACACGTAGTACGATAAACCTCAGAAGGACACGGCTGCGCAAAGTAAGATGGCAAAGGCTGGCTGCCATCCATCTGCACGCTTGCCACACTGAGCAACACGGGGCTCAGCTCCCCTGTGACCGTCGGCTTGCTGGATTTAATATCCCTAATTTAATATCTGCAGGGACTCCAAAAACTGCTAAACGAGAAGCTGTACCAACTCTAGTAACTGAACGAACAACAACGCTGAACGCAAAGACAAGACAACGATACCATCACCATCTGGGGATTTGGTTTCCAGATTAGACCTGGTTTTACTACAGGAGTAACGTTCTCCTCGCATGGTCAGCGGAAGGGCTGCGGGGAGATGAGAACTGCCCGAGAGCGCTGAGGGGCACCCAACACTCGCCACGGGGGACAGGAGGAGAAGTGCAGAGGAACGTGATGGCTTTTACCACTTGAAACGGTAAATGGCAAAAACGCACGTCATCAATAAAACCACATTCTGCAGCTCCAGGGAAACCAAAAGCATAAATGCCACGATAGCCTGGCAAAGGCTGCAGTCCATCCCATCACCGCTCCAAAAGCAGTGCTAAAGAAATTTTTTAGCAGGGAAGCAAACTTGGCTATGATTTGTTACTGCCAAAAAATACACAGCCATTGGCAGACAATTATAAACGTTACTCAAAACTATCATCAGAATGAGAAATCCCGAGGTCTCCCCACAGGAGGTCCTGTTAGGAAGACTGAAGGGAATACAGAAGCTTGTAAAAATGTTTTTTCCAGCAGGGAAACATTTTCGAAGAACTTCAGCATCTGAATATCCTTTTGCTTATAATGTAATATATGGCTTGTGGTGGATTTGAAGCCCTGGCTTCCCTTAAAGGAGCAGACGGAAGATCTTCAAACCTCTAGAGCATCTTTCTTAGGTTACATAGGTCATAGCTAAGCCTTGAAGAAGAGGGGGGGGGGAAAGTGAGGACCAGTTTAAGTTGAAGTCAAAATAACAGTATTATGGAAAAAAGGGGCAGAGAAT